GTAGTAGTGGTGGTGGTTGTTATGAATGTAGTAGCAGTAATAGCGTTTGTTATGAGTGTGGTAGTAGCTATAGTTAAGATTGTAGTTGTAGTAGTATTAGCAGTGGTTATGGTTGTAGTAGTTGTAGTGGTTATGATTGTAGTAGTTATAGTGGTTGTTGTGATTGTAATTGTACTAGTGGTTGTTAGGATTGTTGTGGGGGTCAAGTTAGTAATAGCAGCAGTTATAGTTATGGCTAGTATTAATAGTGGTAGTCATGAAAAAAGTTCAAGACCAAATCGGCCATGACGCCAGCAACGGTCAACAGGTAGCAATCACCGACGCACGTCTAGGCATAGGGAGAACAGGCACAAAAAAGTAATGGGACCCGATGATTCGACACGGTCCTCATGGTCAAAAAAGATCTAGCCGTATTACGAAAGCCAGAGCACCAAACTCATGCTGCATACAGTACACGATACATGTATTTGGAAAAGGCGAAATGGAAATAGGACTGAACAGCGCCATCTAGGAGCTAACAGAAACACCACAGTCTTGAAAGAATGTCAAGTGCAAGGTATGCAGACAGAGCGATAGGGGTGAATATAAGTAGACCCTCGTGATTGAAAACCTTACCAGACTTGGTCTTGTTGTTTTAATAGCTCTAGGGGTGCCATGCGGGATATGTTCATTCCAGCTCTCCCCAATACAAGGAAATATAGTAGAAAACCCCACTATACATAAAACTACTTTATTGAAAAGTGTCTCGCTTCAATAAATCCTTTGTTAACTTTTGCCTATAAGATGGGGCAACGTCTGAGAGGGACAACGTTATAAACCCGATGAAACTGACTCGCAATGTCGAAAAAAAAAAACAAAACAAAAAAAAAAAACAAACTCGGATGATGAAATGACTTTCGTGAACAACTGGGATTAAGATATCAAAAGAGTGGCAGAGGTAAGAGGGACGCTAGAATGACCAGGTAAAGGCTACGGGGCGCTGAATTGGGTTAATAATCCTACCAATCAGATTTCCTCTGTAGATATTCATCGATTCTATACCCCTGATGAAGTGAATGGCCACAGAGAGGTTCCCAAGCCAGTGCTTGCGTGGCTTTTCCTTTAATAAGCATGCAGCAAAGCGCAAGAAAGGGGGTCTTGGTAGAGGCTTGCCATGGACTCTTTTCTTTGAAACTAAGCATAGCTAAATTTTGGTTTCGAAGATCCAGTTTGTATTGATGATCAGCTGGTGAAAGTACTAGAAACAATCAAGGAGACTTAAAGCACTTTCACGTACATTTGTAGGAATAATTACAACTACGAGGCATTTTGGAGTGTTGAATGTATTTCTCACGAGAATTTAATTCATTTTTTTAGTTGTATTGCACACTGTTCGACGACAATCATTGGTATTATAAACTTGATAACTAACCGTGCACCAATCAGGAGATTTACTGTTGAAATAACTGAAGAGAGAACAATAGTATCCTGGAATTGGTTAATGAGCAGAACTTCTCCAGTGACATTACAGGAGACTCTTTAGAATTTTAGGGGCCATGGCTGTGATACTGCCTTCTATTTGAAACAAATGATTCCACTTGAATTGCGGAGTTATCTGCTTACCATGTCAAGATGCACAAGACAACCATACCTGCAGCTGCATTGCTCGGTGTATCTGCTATTTTTCGGGTATCTAACTCATGCTCTGAGCAATATGGCATCACACCTAAGAATCTGAGAAATAGCTACAGGGTCCTTCTTCATATTTTTTGTGCCTTAACTTTTATTAAACAATTATTAACCCCAATAATAACTTTTAAAAGGGTTTGTAACGCGGAAACGCATTAAAAAAAAATCTAGAGTACTCTGCAGTGAAAGTACATATAGTTTCTTTCACATGGACTCGGGAAAGAGTGCTTCCGTCCTCCCACTTTTAAAACTGGTTCAAGTCAGAGTAGAGGCAGCATGGCGGCAACATGGGGACATCATGCCCAAAGCAAATTACTGCTTTGGGCATGATGTCTGGATCGGAAACTTGCCGTAGAGTCTTCGCAATATTTTTGCTTTTTTTTTTTTTTTTTTTTTTTTTTTTGCATTGAGCCAGATTGAGCCACAGACTGAAACAATTGGTTCTAACTTCTAAGGGATCTAATTTACAGTACAATCTAATGAAGTCCTTGTGTTAAATTCACTCCAGTTAATATACGTAGCTGAGGTACAATGAAGCATTGTAGGTAATTATTCCCAACTCTTATGGAATCTAAATTTACAGTGTAGTCAGTCTAGGGACGTCAACTCAAAACCTTCGCTGCCAGGTTTACCATCTTGAAGGTCAACAAAGGTTCATACCTGGATTCCCAGGATTACGTCACACACACACACGCACATACGCACACACACACACACGCACACACACCACACACACACACACACACACACACCACACACACACACACACACACACACACACACACACACACTACTTACTAAGACTCAATCTAGGGCAGACTTACATACGCAGGCAGCTACAAACACCTACTCACACCGCTTTCCATCGAGAGACGTACAACAACCTTATTCAATCCCTCAAATACATCAGTCAAGTAGCATAAGTTGAAAAAAAAAAAAATTCCATCAGAGAGTAAGTTACAACCTTGATTTCTCTCCTTAAGTGTAAAGCAAGTGAATATTTCCCTTCTGTCTTGGGAGGAGCCTTGGCTGAGTGGAACACATTTCGAACGGCTTGTTATTCTTTTAAATTATTCATTTATGATTTATTACAGGAACACCAATAAAAAGAATTAAAAACTTGACACAGTATTAAAGAAAACGCTAACTTCACCCTTTTCCCCCTAAAAGAAAAAAAAGACCCAATACTTAGGAAAAACGATAACTTCACCCTCCCAATGAAAAAAAAAATCAGATTTTGATTCTCTTTTCCTCGACCTACTAAACCTTTTCCTGCGAACACGGCCCGCATTGCCGAACACGACGGGGACATTTTCCTAATTATTCCTCTTCACTCTTCCCTCTGATCCCCTCTTTCTCTCTTTACTTTCTCTTCAGATTGATGTTCATGAGTGTGTGTGTGTGCGTGAGAGAGAGAGAGAGAGAGAGAGAGAGAGAGAGAGAGAGAGAGAGAGAGAGAGAGAGAAGAGAGAGAGAGAGACAGAGACAGCAGAGGCAGAGGAGAGGGGGGGGAGGAGAGAGAGAAAAAGAAAGATACACACATATTTATATAATCGTACATGTTTGTCACATGCGTATCTT